AATGAAGGTGATTGGGGCACCAACACCTTAGTCAGAGAGACCTTTCTGGGTGAGCCCCAGAATACCGAGGTTGCAGGGACGATAGATGCGTCCAATGCGCAGGAACCAGATACTTTCTGGATACAACAGGTCAGAGAATGTTTGACCCCAGGAATATCAGACATCCCACCCAAATACCTCCTCAAGTTTATGCACTTTTGGTTGAGAAAGGCACTGGACAAAGATGTCCATAAGGGAATGCGCGCCGGAAAGCTTCCGGACAAAGTGGCTATTACGCTTGAATTTGACCAGTTTATGCTGGCATTTATGGCACGAGGAGGTCATGACCCTCACAAATGGGTTGAAGGGGGCTTCAGAGGAGCACAAGATGCTATTGGGCCACTGGCCCACGTGATGTACCTGGCAGATGACGCCTACACCTGGGCAGACTTCTTCAATGAAGACATGGTGCATGAATTGGCTCACCATGTTAGAGAATGAGCCCAGTGATGTTTCTGCTTTATGGGCAATACAAATGTGGCCCTCTCGACTGAGAGGGGCCGTGCAGGACTTTTCCGCATTGATGCCTTGGATGTACACGCTTTTGATGTGAATGCATTTTCTGTCACTCCAAAGGGCGTCACAGTTCATATTTCTCAGTGGACCAAATCGGATTCGTCGTCGGTCTTCTATCCATTGTTTGTTTCAGTCCTACAGATTTGTGTGGTATCTGCGTTACAGGCTTATGTAGCAGCAATGGCGATGTTACTGTCACCAGCATCCCCACAATGGTTAATTTCCTACGTCAGTCCTCACGGTCTGGTTTTGGTTACCACATTGTCCAGGTGGATTAGATGACTTCTTACCTTGGCCGGGATAGACCTGTCGTTTGGTTGCACACTCTGATCAGGGTGTGGCCGAATTGTCTGCTTTTTCGGTGGGTGCATCACTTCTAGACAATGTTACAGGTGGCGGACAGGTCATTCAAGTCTACGTTTCAGACCTTTTACTTTCGGCTGTCATCAAACGACATGTTTTCTCTTATTGCACAGTGTTAAAATTGCAAGATATGAAGCCTCCTGTCATGTTATAAATTAAAGATTATACTAACTTTAGTGTACTGATAATCTTAATTTTAATAATGACAGGAGGCAAATATTTCCCCCCCCACTTTTGTCTTTCCCACTCCTTATATGTTAGGTTGACATTTGCATTAATGGTATGTTAACCTGTATCAGATAATTAATTAGATATGGTAATGATGTTCCATGCATGTTTTAGTATGTTCACGTATATATTTTGCATTTAACAACATAATGCTCACTATTATATATTCATAAGTTCAGTTCCGTATGATTGAAATGTATTTCTTTTCTTTCAACTGCCCTGGTTTATGGGAAGAATTAGTTTGCCTTATCGTTCAAGGCTGAAGTTGGAATCTTCTTCTAAAGTTTCTTCTACGTTATGGATTTGTAATGTCGCAAGTAAAATGAGGAAGTGCTTTTGATATGTGTTCCTATTATACACTATTATACACTCTGTTTCTGATTTGTTCTTTTATTACTCCTGTTTTTCTTTGCTGCTATGGAATTAGTAAAGAAAGTTAATGCAAATTATTTGCCTCCTGTCATTATTAAAATTAAGATTATTAGTACACTAAAGCAAGTATAATCTTCAATTCCTGTGCATAAATTTATATGTTAACTTCTGAAAATTCAAGTGGATTGCCCAGGCCTATCTTAACAGCATTATAGGCACCCAGGCAAAGCGGTACACTGGGGCCCTGCCTACACAACCAGGTATAAAAATGTAAATTATTGATACAGTTAAGCTTATATTTATTGGCACCTGGTCCTAGGGCCCCTGGGCAACTGCACAATGTGACCATGCGTTAAGACAGCTCTGGGAGTATTCTGAGTACAAGAGCTCATGGTGTGCATGAGAGATACTGCTAAAGTGAAAAACTGTTACACTTCCTTTTTTCCTCTGCATTGAGGAACTGCTTCCTGTACAATTATCATATTAACGGTAAATAAGTGATGCATCTTACAGGCAGAAAATGTGCTATCTACTTCAACAAACAGCTTATTTAGCAATGGGTTCAATACAATGTAAAATGTTAAACAATTACTATCATCCTTAATCCTTAATGGCATTGAAGTTTGTGTCTGAACATGATATTGGTGTGGTGCTACTGGTTCCTCAGCAATAGACCCATTGATTTCCCCCCCAACAGAAACACTCTATTATTCGATAGAGATGTGCCACATCTCCTTTATGTTACTAGGATCACCTTACTTATGAAGCAGAGCAGAAGTAACACAGGTAGTTTTGCAGGAGAGTAGCATAGCTGAGCAATGACGGCTCAGCTGTTCACAGTTTAAATAGGGTGCCAAACTAAAAACACACCTATTTTGACATGCCCCCATAGCACCCTATTGGTGCATGGGCCGTCAGTCATCAGGGGTTGCCATGGGAGGTTATAATGCGACCTGGGCTGCCCTGTGGCATGGAACGACCGCGCACATGTCCCAAGCGTTTATCATTCCCTGGGAGTCGTGACGCAATCACGCATGCAAGCATTCACCTCTAGCATTCACGCATGCAAGCATTCAGGCAGCCCCGACTCTGAGGTGCCACCGGACAGTGAGGGAACGGAGGTAAATCTTGATAGCCTGTGTCCCTCTGACTCCCTACCCCTTGTGACAGTTTTACTAATTATGTGTGGCTTTTGCATACATGTTTTATCATTTGAAAAAGGTTGTGTTTTATTTTGTGTGTCACCATAAGTAGTGTTCCTAAAGGCTAATTTTGGTTAAAAACAAAGAATTTATGGAAAGTCCCTTTTAGATCATTTGGCAATGCATGGTCTATTCAGAGATTATACTGGCAGAGTCCAAGGCCTTGTTTTTGGCTGTACCGCTCCTTGACAGTGGTCATTTTTTTGTAACATCAGGATATTGACAATGAATGTCTTTGTAATGGTTGTGGAAGAGGGGTCAATACATGCCATACCAGTGGTAGGCTTGTTGTGATGGTTATGTTTCATGGTGGTCAATAAAAACATTCCTAGTATACGAGTGATTGTAAAATGGTAAACAGACACATTTTTTTTATAGTTTATCATTTACCAGAGGTGACTAAATTGACAGATGATGTAACACTGAGAGATTGACCCCAGAGATGATAAAGTTGACCTCAGACTGAATACTATGGGATTTTAGGGAAATTCTACCAGGAGCAAAGTCTCAGTGCAAGGATTTTAGTTATGCCCAACAGAAACTGGGTGTCTCAGTGCAGGGGCTTTTGTTATATTCAAGAGTCTTTATGCAACAGTGCACAAATCACAAAGATAATATACAAGTAAGGTAAATTGTAAAAAAAAAAAAGAAAAAAAAAAAAGAAAACAGAAACTGAGGCAGTGGAGTTGTTTTGTAAGAAGTAAAATTTCACTGCATATTGTTTGCTAAGTTGTCAGTAAGACAATCCAGTACATAAAATAATTTCAAATGTTTGATAAGTGGGGCCTTCTTAGCGAGGAAATTATTATCCCTTTACTGGTAACCTTGACCTTTGACCCTTTAGCCTTTGGTAACCTTTGAACCTTGACCCTTTACTGGTAACCATAGGGGTAAGTGTTTATATACTTATCTTTGTATAATATATCTTTAAATACACGTATATAGCGCTGCACTCCAGCTGGGAGCTTGGAAGGTGGAAACACAACCAGACTCTAAGTTTTGTGTTTTTGGTGACTGTAATTTGTGGTGTGATTCTGGGAGCACCCACAGAGTGTATAAGCAGCTAAACTAAATATTAACTAAATAATTTGAAGCGCCATTTTTACCACACTGTGTGTGTTTTACGTGTAACTTAAAACATGTAGCTGTAAGTGCTTATTTTTAACATCTTGTGTTGAGGTTCCTAGATACCCTGTACCTACTGAAGGAAGTCCTCAAAATAATCCATAAACAATTGAGATATATATAGGGCTCCATTTGAGTGATTTTCAGTTTAAAAACATTGGGCTGAGTAAATAGCGTGATTTCCACTAGGTCAGCAAGGGATATCCCTTAACTATTCCCTAGTTGTAGCAATGGCTTACAACCAGTCTGCCTCATCAAGCCACCTTAAATAGTGCTGTGAACACAGTGACATTAAGGCTATTATAGATTGAATGCTGTTCTCAAAACATGTTTTTAGTATCATGTCATTATTAAAATGGGAATACCCATCTGGTAATTAATTTAAACTAATAAGTAAGTATACATATTTCTCTAGTAAAGCTATTAGTAGATTAGATATTTATAAGCCAAATAAATCTGTCTTGGAATTTTTTTTTTCTCACGTTAAAGTGGGTCTTGAACTCGATAAGATTGAAAACCATTACATAGAGAACTTTTGGTCCTTTATAAAACTGGAATGGGTCGGTAATAGAATTCTGAATCTGATCACTTCATTTAATTTTTTTTTAAATTCTTTATTCATGTCATGTAAGGCAAATATTCACAATAACAGGCAGGGCATATGCGTTGTCAATTGTACAAGTTACAGCACATTGATACGTGCTAAGAATTCACCTCTTTCTACACATATTTTTATAGTGGGTATGTAGGTGGAGCAACCTGGTTTAGAAGACCCATTGCACTAGGATTTGGTATCTCAACCTTTGTGAGAAATCGTTGTGTAGTATGCTCTCAGACCAATGTGTCCACTGGAAAGTGCTGATACCTTCATTTCTAAGCAACATACTTCATTATATAACACAGGCTTTGAAGCCACCTATGGACGTTTTCCATTATTCCAATAGATATTATTGTCAACATAATTATACCAGTTAAATATTAAGTGTGCTTTAATTAAATTCTTCAGACAAGTATAAATGAAAAGGGAATTTTGTACCAAACATTTATGTACCAAGTTATATCTGACCTCTGGATCCCAAATAGAGAAAATAATTTGATAATCTAGGTGTGTGTTTTATAAGGATAGCCATTCCACTTTTTTTGTAGGAGTAGGGGGATGGAGTAAAGTGTCCAATCCTAGTACAATTGCTAATTTGTTAAGCCTTCTGCTGCTGTGCAGACAGTTTCCCCCCTTTTTCTAATACCCTATCCTGTAACCCATGGGCTAGTTATTTATATTTTAGTAGAAGATTTTATTTAGGGGTCTTATTGACTCCTATATGCATTTTGTTTCAGTGACGACTAGCTAGCAAAAGCTGACCTGCTGCCACAGAGTTAACTCTTGCAACAACTAGGGTTTTCTAACTGATTGTCAACTAGCACTGCAAGTGAGCATGTAAAATATGAGATGTTTAAAATATTGGATGTTAAAAATATAGGTCTCACACCCTAAACTACACACCACTGCTTCAACAAGCACACAATGACCTTCAGAGATGGTCTTCCATGTCCATATCATGGCTAGGCAGAATAGCCACTAAAAAAATTAACCTTCTCCCCCAATTTTTTTACCTGTTTCAAGCCCTTCCTATCCCTATCTTGAAGCAAGATTTCAAAATGCCTCAGACGAAAATAGACAACTTCATCTGGGCAGACAAAAAACTGAGAATCAAGAGGTCAACAATGTATATCACCACTAGGGCAGGAGGCGTGGGCCTCCCCAACCTTTAACACTATTTTTAGGTCGCACAGTTGGCGCAATCCGGAACCTATGGGTAGACCTCAAATGTGATCTCTTAGAAAGGGACCTCCCTTCACTTCTCCTCTGGCTCCCCAAGAAAGACAGACCAGACACCCCATTAACATCCCCCGCTCTAAAAACTTCTTTCCAACTTTGGGACAAATTACTCCCACAATATCCTCTAGTAAATGTGCCATCACCACTCACACCAGTCTTGAGAAATAAACAATTCCCCCAGGCATGACACCCCAAAACTTTGTGCACTTTTAAGATAATGGGCTGCTAAGAGTCCCTCCACTTCTTCTGTAACCAACAACTCTTACCATTCCTAGACCTACCCAGAACAGTACCACTGACCACCTTTGACCATTTCCACTATCTACAATTGGGCAGTTTCCTTAACGAACCAAATATCACGGCCACAGTAACTGCCACACTCACACACCTTGAAAGGGCATGTCTACACGCACCCATTAAAAAGGGACAGATCTCCACGATATAATACATCTTGAACGCATACATCGGCATGGGAAAGAGACATAGGCCCACCAGATTACCCCTCCAGCTGGGTAGACATTTGGGAAGCCACAGCATCGCTCACGGTATGTGTTAATCATAAGGAACAGGCTTACAAAAGGATGCTCCAGTGGTACCTCACACCCCTTAGACTGAAGCATATGGGGTGTTCACGTGGTGGCGGCCATTTTAAAAATCCCGAACAGTGGTGTTTTGCCGTCGAGTGTCTGGAACTCAAATCGGACACTCGACTAGGCGAACATCGCTGAGACCTCCACAAGCCCGGTCCGTTCGGTTCCAAACCACCGAACGGCGCCTCGTTCGGTAGACAGAAATAACCGAACGAGGGGATTCATGTGAATCCTACCTGATCTCTGTAGCCTTAGCCGTTCGTGTAAATTATTCCCTTGTACTGGGACCGACCGCAGGGCCCCATTGCATGGAACCCAATTCGGCTGTTCTATCCAGCGTGGTCGGTCTTTTTAGTACCTCCATAAATTTCCCGAACCCCTGGTCCGATCTGGGTGATTTTTGGATATGTTGCTCACCCAGATCAGGGCTACCAGGGGATGTGCCATTTAAAGGGGTTCCCCTAGGTTTAGGGGTACATATAATATATATAAGGGGATTATGATGCAGGCTGAGGGGAGGAGATGTGTGGGAGGTTACTATTGTCGGATTGGGCACTGTACTAATTGATGAAAATCCCTCCCTTGCATGGGAGCATGCTATATAAGGCACTGTGGAATAAAGGTTGTCAGTTCTGCTCCTGATGCTGTGTGTCGTCCAGTCATTGGGATTGCTGTGGGGATACTATTGGATTATTTTGCCTGCTGGAAACCTTGCCTGTGGATTTATAATTTACAAGCTTAAATTTCATCTGCCATTTGAGTGCCCAGTCTCCCAGTCTATCTAAATCCTTCTGCAGCAAAGTAATATCTTGCTCACATTGTATTGTTTTACAAAGTTTGGTGTCATCTGCAAACACTGAAACATGACTTTCAATGCGGTCTTCAAGATCATTTATAAACATGTTAAATAGAAGGGGTCCCAGAACAGACCCCTGAGGGACACCACTTGCCACCTCTGTCCAGCTTGAAAATTTACCATTAATGACAACTCTTTGTACTCTGTTTTAAAGCCAATGTTCTACCCAAGAACAAGCATTTTCATCTAGACCGATTTCCTTGAGTTTGAACACTAATCTATTGTGTGGAACTGTATCAAATGCCTTGGCAAAATCCAAATAGATCACATCCACGGCAACACCCTGATCTATATTTCTACTTACTTCTTCGTAGAACGCAATCAAGTTAGTTTGACATAACCTGTGCTTCATAAAACCATGCTGATTTTTGCTGATAACCATGTTCTTCTCAAGGAATTCTTGAATATTATCCCTTAATAACCTTTCAAATATTTTACCAGCCACAGAAGTTAAGCTCACAGGTCTATAATTTCCAGGCAAGGATTTTGAACCCTTTTTGAATATAGGAACCACATCTGCCTTCCTCCAATCCTCCGGAACACTTCCTGAAAGAAAAGAATCTTGAAAGATTAAAAACAGAGGTTCACTTATTTCTGCACTTAGTTCCTTAAGTACACGTGGATGGATACAGTCAGGCCCTGGAGCTTTGTTTATATTAACTTTCTTTAGTTGCTGCAGCACCTTGTCTTGAGTTAACCAATTACAATTATTCTGCAAGTTTTTAGTAGCAATCATTTGCACATCTATTGCCATGGGTTCTTCCTTAATATATACGGAGGAGAAATAGTTATTTAAAATTCCTGCCTTTTCCTGGTCTTTTGGTTGGTTTTGCTCTCTTCAGCTATCATTATTTCATTTTGAAGTTTAGCAAGTCTAATTGCCTTTTTGCATGCATTATTTGCATCCTTATATCTTTTATAAGATGCATCTGATTTGTCCAATTCAAATGTTTTAAATGCCCTTCTCTTAGTTGTAATCTCTTGTTTTACTTCTCTACTAAGCCACATTGGTTTTAATTTGTTTCTTTTATATTTATTTCCCAACGGTACATACTGAGAAATGTACCTTTGTAATATTTGTTGGAAGATGATCCATTTATCCTCAGTGTTCTTTTCACTAAAGAGTTTATGCCAGTCAATATATTGTAAAGCTTCCCTTAACTTATTGAAATTGGCCTTTTAAAAATTATATGTTTTAGTATTCCCCATGTGCTTTTGTTTTTTTGAGTTTATTTCAAAGGACACTATATTGTGATCACTATTTCCCAAGTGCTCACCTACTTGAATGTTGGTCAAAAGATCAATGTTGTTTGTTAAAACCAGGTCCAGACAAGCATCCATTCTAGTTGGTGCTTGTACAAGTTGTGACATGAAGGTGTCGTTTAACAAGTTTAAAAACTACGGAATTGTTTTACCTGGATCCGACCAGGCCCGCCACCACCACCAAGAGCATCCGCAGCCCACCACTACCAGGACATAGTGGCAACACCATATGGCTCAGCAGTACCTATTACCACCGTGGAACAGTGGGAAGTATTGCACGAAGCGGATCCAGTCCAGGCCAGTGCTGATAATCGTCAGCACCATAGACAGACGGTATACTTGGAGGGTAAAGCGGTCCAACGACTCTGGACCCAGGAGCTACTATCACCCTGGTAAAGATTCACCTGGTTTCGGATCAGGCTAAGCTCAGTAAAACTGTAGCCGTCAGGGTAGCCAGGGGAGCAGTGTACCGGCTACCTACAGCAAGGGTACATTTGCAGTGGGCAGCGGGGTCGGGACATGTGGAGGTGGGGTTGATGCCGCAGTTACCGGCGCAGGTTTTATTGGGGAACGATCTGGGGAGGCTCATGTCTGCTTTTGAGCCCCAGACGCCCACCACAGGAGAAGCTCACCCTGTGGTCACCCGACAACAGGCCCGCACCCAGGACTACAACACACTCCCGGAGGTTCAGGTAAGAGACCCTTCCCCTCCCTTAGAATGTGTCCCCTGGGCCCCACCTAATGAATTTGCAGCTGAAGTAGTAACCGGCCCTACGCTGCAAGTATATAGGGACAATGTTGTCACTGACTCACCCGGGGGGGAGGGAGAGAGATTTGTCTGGGACAAGCAGCTTTTATATAGAGAGACAGACAAGCAGATTGCTGGGTCAGACCCGATAGTGATGAGGCAACTAGTGGTGCCGCAGCGGTACCGAGCCGAGTTACTCTGGATAGCGCATGATATTCCGATATCCGGACATTTATGGGTCAGTCGCACTAGGTACAGACTGACCCAAAGTTTCTTCTGGCCAGGGATCAGCCAGGAAGTATGCAGGTATTGCACTACGTGCGATACCTGCCAAAGGGTAGGGAAAAGGGGAGAACGAAGGAAGGTGAAACTACACCCCCTACCCATAATTGAGGAACCCTTTAGCAGAATAGCGGTAGATTTTATAGGCCCCCTCAAGAAAGCTAGCCCATCAGGCAAAAGGTACATTTTAATGGTAGTAGATTATGCCACTAGATATCCAGAGGCAGTGGCTCTGACCAACATCCACGCTGAAACAGTCGCGGATGCCCTCATGCGGATATTCTCCCGGATGGGAGAATCCCCTATTTCCAGACTAATCCCCTATTTCCAGACTATACGAACAAGCCTGTTAGGTTATTTGGAGAATTACAGCGGGATTTCGTGGAAATAACAATAAATGCGAAAGTGGCCGACCCCAGATAGCTATAGTATGGAACTTGCAGTCGGCTGCAACCACACGAACGGCCGGTGAAAGTCAAACTTCAGTCGATGATTCTGAGAACTGTGTTCGTGGGATCTGAGCGCTATTCGCCTAGAATATGCCCTCAGATCCAAGCTATCTGGGGATATGTGGAACTTAAAGTTTATGTTGTGTAAAAAGAAAGTTATATATTTTTATTCTGTTTTGCTAAATATGAAAAGCCATGCTTCTTTCTTCCAGGAGATAATTAAGGCTCTCTTTGTTACCTTAAGTTAATTATCTCCAGGATGGAAAAGAGGGAGTGATTTATGGAAAGGGGAGTGCTTATGCTATAGCCACTGTGATTGGCTACTGTGTTACTTTTGTCCCAG